GAGACTGTCTTTCAAAGTACAGTGTAAAGGAAACTTTACCTATGTTATTTCTTTCTTTTGAAAGAATCTTCACTTACTGCCTTACCAGTACCTCCTGTCTTTTCTGTTACAGCAGGTGAAAACTGAAGTAGCAATTTCAGTGCCCCTAGAACTGATGCATCTTTCTTCACAGCTGTCTGTAAAAGAACTAATTTAAAAGATAGTCTTCTGAATATTGATTTTCTGCCATAAAGATATGAAAAGCGGACAAGCATATTTCTTCCTCCCTTGTAGATCACTTTTAGTATATTATTCCTCTTTAAGAAGCTGCTAGAGACAGCTGTCTAGAGGTAATCTGGTTTTCATTATAAACATGGAACTTCTCTCTCCTCCCACCCTCAACAGGAAAAACACGTCCTGGGTGTTCCAGTAGGATCATTTTAAAGATTGTAGCGCAGTGATAGAGCTTCTAGTTTCATGCTGCCTACACTGGGGGCCGTTGGCAAGAGCCACACCTGCTTTGGCATCACTGACTTCAGCCACACAAGTGGGAACCCTAAAATACCCGGGTGTTTCCCGCGCTGACACTAACCTGCTCGGGAAGAGGTCTCTCAGTCATGGGGGGGTTTTTTTCTTAACGCATCTAGCTTAGGCCAAACTAAGAGGACAGCAGTTAGGAGAGGTATTTTCAGGAGTAGTTACTTCAGGGCATCTAAACCACTAGTGGATGATTTGTTACTGGAGTCCCCATTCACAGTTACCAGCAATGGGCTGAGGCTAACAGTAGCAAGGGGAAAAAAAAAAAACACTTACTACTGACATAGCTTCAAGATGGTGATATCTGTTAAGAGTTTTAGGGTACAGTTTTCTGCAATTTCTTTGGCAACAAATGCTAAAGAGGTTTCCTCTGCTGCCTGCTGGTCTCCAGCGCTTGCAGAGAGGGCTTTTTCCCGTCTCCCGTAGGTCTCTCCATCCATGTACTGTAACAGCTGGTGGGACCCTGCAGCAAATCGGATTGCTGAAATGACTGGGGTTTTGTTGTTGTTGTTGTTTAGAAACAACAAAGGTCGTGGAGCATTTGGTTTTGTTTGCCCAGAACGTTTCAAGGATCTGGTTTAGGCTAACCTCACAAACCATGGCACAGCTGGGCAGGAAGAGGAGCAGACTGCAGTGCCGGCATCTATCTGCTTGCGCCTGAAACTCTCGCCAGCTCTGCCGCTAAAGAAAATACAAAGGGGCTTCACAAACAGCATGAATGAACCTTTCTGATAAATACTGACCTGGATTTGCACACCCGAGTTTCTGGAGTATTGGATAAACCCTGGCAGTAAGTCGAACACGTTCGGTTTGGACTTCAAAAGAAAATGACAGTTTCAGCTGCTGAGTCCCTGAGTTTGCCGTGTTGTTTGAAGTACTGGATTAAAAGCTAGGTTTGGAGACTGACTTTTTTTTTTTTTTTTAATACATATAACTGCTGTTATATGTAGTCTTGCCTCTTCTTACAACTGTAGGAAATAACCTATGGTGGGGAAAGGTGTAGTAAAAAAGCACCTGGTTTAAAATTTTTACCTTTTCTTGCTTTCTGTGAAGAGTTAGCTGTCTCTCTTACTCTGTACTTACTCCTGTACTGACTCAGACACTCTTGACTTTCTTCCACAAGCTCTTCCAATTAGCATGACCTGGATGAGGCTGTATAATCCTCTCCCTTGTTCCAGGAACATGGAGGTGCATTAAAGACCAGAGGAGGAACACAAGGCCCTTGCAGACCCACCCTTCAATCCATCACACTCCCAAGCGCGGGGAGGACTGCAGGTCCCCCTCTGATGCTCTTGCCCTCAGCCGTTGAGCCCAGGCTTGCTACGTGGCTTTAGTTTTACTGTCGTGATTCCCGAAATACAGTTTTATCATTTCAGTAGTAAGGCTTTTCTTTTTACGCTGCAATAGTGTTGAATTGTATTTGTTTCTTTCTCGAGGAGGTGGGGTTTTTTTTCTTCCCCCTTTCCTCCTGCAGTCAGATGTACACTGCAAATGGCACAGACAGTGCCTCTTATTGTGGCTCAGGCTCAAGACTTCACATATGTAAAATGTGACTTGCAGCACTTTCTTTGAAGCCTAACCACAGCCAGGGAGCTGTAATTGCAGTCTTTGATTGCGCCGACTTCACTTGTGGATTGGGCTTTGCTAGGGCATGCCTCGCTTGGCCAGACTTCAGCTACAGCCCCCCAGTGAAGCCTTAGATGTGGGAAGTCTTCAGTCTCCTTAGCACATGCCTGTGGTTTCTTGAAAAGAATCCTGATTTGACCTGTTTTATATCTGTAAGGCAACACCATCATCATTTGTATTTTTTAGGTATTATTTGGTTTATCAGCAGTAGAAGCAATTTCCAGCGTGTAGCCTTAATGTGCAGCTGGGGAAAGGCTGGGTTCTAGACGCTGTTTTCAGGATAGCTACTGTGTAATTTGCTGTACTGCAGTCTTCGCTTGGAAATAAAAATATTTGGGGCGTCACTGTGCCTGCCCCCTTGCAGAATTACAGTAGTATCTGCAGGCTGTCTATGGGAGCGGGGGATAACGAGGTGCCGCGAGGGGCTATGGAAGGAGGCAGGCGCTGCCAAAGCTGCCTTTGGATTGAGAAAGAAGCGATGGCCGCTGTTGGAAAAACCTGAGGGCCGGAGCAAGGCCGCGGTCGTTATTTTAACCTCCTGACTTCAAAGACAGCTTGCTGGTAAGGGAAGGGGGGGGAGGAGGCAGGGAACCATCTCAACAGAAGAGCATTTCATTTCCTTCGGTGAAGTAGACATTCCTGGCTGCTAATGGGGAGTAGCTCTGAATCACGGCGCTTGTATCAGACTGCTGTGAACTACTGGCCTGGCGCCTCAAGGCCATTCCTCAACAGGAAGCTGAATGTTTTCATGTAAGACTGAGAGGAAAACCTTCCCAGGAAGAGCAACCTGGACCAAACCTTTGAAAATCCGGGATGAAAAGGCACAAAATAAATATAAAGCTGCGGGGTGCTCTCCCCAGTGTTCCTCTGCTGTTTGCTTGGCCTCTCTTTCGTGCTCCTTGGAAAGGTAGAGCCCTTCGCAGCTCTTTGATCCGCACGTGTTACGGAGCACTGTGCTACTTTATATAAAATTTAAAAAAAAGGGCAGGAAGCTCTGAAGGCTTTTTTTAGTTGGGTCTTGGGCTGGTTTTATGAGGAAATAGGAACTGAATTAGTCAATACAGACCACCTCTGTTGAAACCACTGGTTTGCCAGTGGACTTTCAGCTGTGCTGTTTAAGAGGCTGCAGGGACTTTAAAGGTCCTTTTGTGGCTACCGGCAGCAGGTGAAAAATTATTCATTACGTATCAGGGATGGTGGTATTGGGGGGAAGAGGAGATTGTCCTTCAAATTAAAGCTACACAGGAGAGTTTGATATAAATTTGTACTTGTCCTTTGTACCTTCCTTAGTCTGCAGCTAACCTTCTTCAGTGTCCTCAACTTTCCTTTCCACTAAAGCAATGGTCATGCGGGTGGCCTCTGATGAGGAGTCAACTTCTTTAGTAAGATTTTTTGGGGGCCTCAGCTTGTGCTCGCTAAAATCAAAGGGTCCAAAATCAGTTTTGGAGGTTTTCTACCCTGGAGTACGCTTGCCTGTGTAACTCCTTACTCAGGAGCTGTACTCAACCAGTATGGGCAAACACTTTGTGTCATAATGGCTTCCACGGAAGCTGCAGCAGATGGAAGGTGGGTGTCCAGTTATAAATGGCCCTGGTTTAAATACTGCTGATGTAATATTTGCTGATTAATTCTGCTTGTGGCTCTTAGGGGCTCAAGCAGTCTATATTATGATTAGTCTAACAGAAATTTGACTTGTGGTTTAAACCATTTCTTCACGAACTTGTTCCGTCTTGCCTTGCGTGATTCAAGGTGCTGGCAGTGTATCTTCTTTGTATGACTAAGCTTTTTGTGTTTCTTCTGGTGCAACTTCACTCACCTTCTGAATCAAACCACACGCCTGTGCTAATTTTGGTCGTTCTCAAAAGCTCTGCTCATTGAACCCTCTACTTGTTTGGCACTGAGTAGTACCTGGAGGCCTAGCGGTTAATGTAGATTTTTTTTTGAGATGCCGATAATGCTGAGGCCGTTACTGGAGAGCATGTGTCCGTCTGTGGAAAAACGCCGGACTCATTAGACAGTCTTTGGGTGGAGCCTCTGTTATAACCCAGTTGTCTGGGTCAGAAGGGCAGGGGTGACGGTTGAGTTAGCAATTGCATAAGTCAGCTGATGTAAACCAAAGACCTGGTGATGAAGAACTGTTCCTCTCTGGAAGACCAATACCTGTAAGGTCTGCACTGTTGGTGTTTTCACATACTGTAAGAACATAAATCCTTCCAAGATCTTAGTGAACTTTACTGCTAGGTAAGAGGCCCATGGCTCTTAACGCAACGGGAAGATGTTCCCTACCATGGTGAAGAGCAGAACGAACCCTCCCCAGTCATGCGGACGCATGGTAGGGTCAGTGTTCACGCAAGCCTCACCCACCGCATTCCTCTACCCAGCTGCTGGCAGAAGACAGCGTTTCTTTGTTTCTGCCAGGAGTAGAGCTTGAAGCTCTGAAGCGGAGGTTTAATTGACCTCAACCACTGTAGTACCAAAGCCTGAGGATACCTAGTTCTGTAACAGATATCTGGGTCAAATGTTGCAGATAAATGCAATCCACTACAAAAGGGAATGACTTCTGTAATATGTTGAATGTCTAAATAGCTTAAAAACACACCTTTCTAGTTGGTGTGGATGTCTGTTTACAATCCAAAGTAGTCTCCATAAATATTCTTGCAAACTTCAAGCAAGAGCAAGTAGCAATACTCTGCACTTAACTTTGACATTGCAAACGCCCATTCCACTAATAGAGTTGTGTCATAGAGTTACAGTGACCCATCACCAGCTTCTTTGAAGGATTTTTAAAAAAACAACCCAAACGGCTTCATACAGTCTTTTATCACTCACTCTCTCTCTCCCCCTCCCCTTCCCTGTAGGTGGGAAAAGAAATGCTTTCTCAACTTGCAAAGCAAAGGCGGCGACACCAGGACCCCTTCTGGAGATGGAAGCTTGTTAAACCCTAGGTGTGTCCTTCATCCGCACAGACCACCCCCGAGGGGTCTGTCTAGGATGTCATTCACCCTGATGTCACTGCTAGAGACACTGAATCATAAAGACAATCACTGCCAAAATCCTTCACTATCACGAGGTCCAGCCCCGATATAAATAGAACAAACGAGCTCCTGGGTCAGCAGAGCAGCTTTTGTCTTCACTCCACCTCTGCCTTGCACTCTTAAGCCCCCGTCTCACCTGCGTCCACACCGAGTCAGCAAAGTAGCGTGGCTGCCTCTGCCTGCTTCAGCCAACAGAGTGACGTAGACCACAGCTGCCCCATACAGCACAGCGAGGAACGGGATCTGCCTGGACCAGGATGACACACTCGACCTTCTTTTTATTTAATGGTGCGACAGGATCAATTTTGGTTTTAGCTTTTTTAAGAAACTTGAATGCTTTTATATTTTAACTTTTAGTTTGTAATTTCTTTGGTGTATATTTTACTAGGTATGAGCTTTTAAACAAGTGTCAGAAATCTGAAATACTTTTTAAATAAAAGGGGTTTTTCTTTTTTTTTTTTTTTTTTCTGCCAGAGGAAAAACCTGTATGGAAAAAAGGTGGCTTTTTTGTTAAACTATTTGTAACAAATAGTGGCCTCTCAGTCTATATAATACAGTGTCCTATAGAGTTAAATAAATGTAACAACAGTCAGCTGGTCAGTAGACACCTCAGTCTTGCATCATCTACTCTGTAAACATAAGCAATACATCCAGCAAATCTGACTGCAGTGAGTTCTCCTTCTCACCCATTCCCCTTCTCCTTGTAAAAAGCCCAGCACTTGAATTATTACTTCAATTGTTCTGTATTTGTATCTGTTTTTGTTAGCCTGTTAGTGGGATTTTATGCCAGTTGTTGAAATGAGCATTGATGTACCCATTTTTTAAAATAGTAAGGCACAGCCTTTGCCAAAAATACTGTCAACCGATTTTTTTTTTTTTCTGGTCATTCCAGTTTGAGTTTATGTGCTGAGCATTTGTTTTTTAATAAAAGCTTTGTAATAAAACTAAAGTCAATTGTCTGGCTTTAAAAAAAAATAAAGGAAAAAAAAAGAGAATGGCTTGCACCAGAATCCCTCGAAGGTCGAAGCAAGCCCAGGAAGGCACAGTCACTTCTAAGGCTGAAGACTTTTGGCTCACTCCTCCCTTGTAGGAAATGCAGTGTGTCCGATTGGCTGTTTGCTCACCTGAAGTCAAGTCATTTTGGAAGATGACTCTTTTTCTTCCTGAAGAGAGCAGAAGGCTCTTGTTTTCATACCAGCAGTAAGGATTGGGCAGGCTCGGTGCTCCCTTATGCTTCCCAGTTAGACCTGGCCCGAGTGGAAGTTCCAGGGTCTGTTTCCTGCTAAAATCTGAGTGAAGGCAGCAGTGGTTTTAAGCTGATGATGAGGGGTAGGGATTCCCTTCTGTCCGGCTGCAGTCCATGCCCACACAAGGGGTGGGAGCCTACAGTTACATTTCTTATAGCTGTACAAATTATCCCGCAGTCAGGGACTGGAGCTGGCTGCACAACCAGCTATGGAGGGCCCGGTTTCATGGTGTCAGATCCAAAACGTCGGCATGGCCTGCCTGCTGCCAGTGGTGCCCGTGAGACGTTCCTGCAACAGCAAGCAGCTTCTCTGCACGCTTCAGAACGGAAAACGCAGGTCTTTGAGTCTTTCAAGCCCCAAAGGCTACCAACAATTTCTCCGAGACCTTTTCCATTTTGTTCAGGGACTGGTATTCCACAGCTTTGAAAAAAAAACCAGACACAGCTGCCTGACTTCTGCTAAAGGACTTCAAATGGAAAAAAAAACCCCACTGTGGCCATAAACTATTCCAATGGTTTGTGAGTACCACTGCAAAAGAAATACTGCGAACTGTACGTTGAATCCACAGACCGTGTACGCCAGCTCCTGAAGCTTGTTTGGTGTGGGATTGGACTGAGCCAAGCCTCAGCTACCAGAAATGCCATAGGTGAGTTACTGCCTAAGGAAGCTTTGCGATTAGATTGTTTATAACTGACCCTTAAACTCTGTTGCATAAGAAATTTCATAATTAAAAATATGTTATAAAACAGCTTCCTCTCAAACCAGCACGCACTGCACACAACCCCAATTGTAACAATGTAACCAGCATATTAGTTTATGCAATATTTATTTCTAGCAACTAGTGATTATGTCAAAAAAAGGCAAAACAAGTGACCAGGCAAGGGAACACTCTCCGATGGCAGGAGAAAAGACCTCTGAGAGAACAGCGACTGTGCACTGGAGTTCTGCAAGACTTGGCTACGATTCCATCCCAGTCAATTATCCCAGCCTTTGCTGGAAACCCGTCTGGTTTTTGGTTTAGGGTTTGGTTTTGTTTTTAAAGGGAAAAAACCCCAAGTACTTCAGTGCAGTAATTGTTCTAAATCAAGGATTACTGCAGTGAGTTCTGTAAATTACAAGTTCCAAAGATAACAGTTCTTTTTAAAACTGTAAAACATAACTACTTTATTTAGGTTTTTTTTTTTTAATGGCTATTTAAAAAGCCACTTACCCATTTTGCCAAAAAATTGTTCCCAATAGAGGTGTTAGCCTTATGTAGCGCGTTGTCCCAAGTACACTACGTAGTGAACAGTTGCCTGTCTTAAGGACGAAAGGTCTTTCAGCTCTAATACTGAAGGAGAAAAAGAATTCAGGAGCTAAAAATAACATCTCTGCTGTTAACATACATTGAGCAAGCACCACGTGTCAGGCTCATTCATAGATCAAAGCCCTTTCACATATAGCAACTATGGGAAAGGTTAACTAATACGCAAGGCTTAGGATGCTCCCACGAGAGCACCTGGAACAGAGTAACGGCGCTGCCCCACCCAGAACACCCTCTGTGGCTTGGGTCCGTGTCCGCTCCTGCCTCCCACCGCTGATCCGCATTTGTTCCTGCGGGACCGAAAGAGCAAACGGAGCTGGGCCCTCACTGCACCGCGCCAGCGTGGCGGAGGGGACAGATGAGATGGTGAAAATGGCCTAGGGACGACGGTGTTACCCTGGCAGTAAGACTCGGTTTAAATCCTTGTGATACCAAGTAAGTTATTCCAGGTGAGACTGGAAAACGACACCTAAATTCCTGATGTGCAGTTTAGGCAGAAGTCAGCATCAAGCCATGTCTCTCTTGCGTGCCTGAGGAGATGATTACCCTGCATTTCCCACAGAAAATGTCTTTAAGGATTTAAATGCTCCTACCTAATGGCCAAGTTAATTATCCAGACGCTTCTGTACAAGCATTCATAAACGCAGTCTCTCCCTCTGTACTTCACTCTATGCATGCACTAAAATCCAGGTAACAGTACAGGTGCCCCCATCCATGAACACGAGCGATATCCCAGGAGCTAGGAAACACGCGTCCTGCCCACTCCCCTCACCGAAAAAACAGCAAAGGGCAACGGCACAGGACAGGGCAGTTGAGCCAGGATTATTTACAGCTCAGCAGGCCCACATCACAGGGTGGTCTGGCTCCTGACGCTTCTGGATCACCTGGACCAGAGCCATTTCCCCTCTCTTACATAAAAGAACAATGCTCCAGGCTAACTTTGGCTTCTTACACGGCAAGTGATGACAGATTCACTGGTGGTGCTTACAGGGACTCGCCAGCTCTAGAGAATTATCTTCTGTCGTAGTTTCCGCTTTGGATTAGGTAACAGAAAAGGCAGTACCTTAGTTGTGCAAGTGACGGCTCGATGGTTAGGTCAATTTGCAGCAAATGTGGGACCTTAAGGACCTAATCCTTGCTCCAGGCTCTAGGACAGCAGAATCCGGAGCGTCAGTCATCTGCACTCCTTTGAAACCACTACAAGGCTTTGAAGTAACCTTTCTCCGTCTCCTGATGGCCGCCTCCTCTGATCTACACGGCGGCTAATGAGGCCAAAACAAGACAGGCAGAAAATGAAGGACACTGCCAAGACTAAGAAATGCCCACTAACCTCTCGAGTAACGCAACTGCGGTTTGTTCCCTGCCACTCACAAGGACACCAGCGTGCCAGGAAGCCTCTCCTCCAGCATCACGACCTAAGACAAAGTAGAACATTATGGGGGAAAGAAGCAACTCCACAAATAGCGAGAAGCCTGTCAGCTATGAACACATTTCTCCTAGGTCGGGCCAGTGACAAAATTACTGGGCTAAGAAAGAAGTTAGCCAAAAGGAAAGCAGCTGTAACAGGAAAATGGACTGCTGTAAACACAGACGTTCCGAGATTAAGCCAAAAAACTAGAAAGTGTGCCCGAACACATTCATTGTTCCACATGACAGGCCAGGAAGAGAACCTCTGGATTAATGTATGAATTTACACTGTGAACCTCCTCACGGATACAAAGATCACCTTTAGAAAGCAAGCAAGCAAAGAAGCATCTGCAGCCCCAGGAAAATGGACATATCTGCCAGAAATATGGGAAACGAACCTTGGGAAATGAACCTTTTAACCACCAGCTTTCAGCCAGGTCAAAGCAAGGACTAAAATTCTGCTCCCTGTCCTCCCAGGTAAAGACTTATACCTGCAGGCCATGGGTTTTAAATGATGCCGCCTCTCTGGCTGGCACACTCCTCCTGGCAACAACTATAACCACGCTGAGCCACAGAGACAGCGTCTGCTTGGCTGAGATAATAGTCACTGCTCACCTGGTCTGGGATACCGAGGTTTTCTTCTTCTGAGTGATGTTCTACAAAACACACTTCCATAAACTCACCCATCCCACCTCCCAGAAACCCAACACATACAAGTAAGCGACAGGTTTGTTCATCCCTCTCAGCTATGGAAAACCAAGATGAACCCGCAGAGCTAGGAGAAAAATTTCCACCTGCCTCATACCAGAAAAGCAACTCACCCCAAAACCTGGTCTGTCCTGTTCACTGTGCGGAGAAAACTACGGCAAAATAAAATCTTCAGCAGAATAAGAAAAATAACATATTCCACAACTTAATGGTGGTCAAGACACTTATTTGGAGAGGCAAGTCTTTGAATTTGGACTCATTTCGTACAGCTAAGAAAACTGGCTAAAAAATCCTGCAGGATATTGACTGGGCTGAGGTAGGACCATTTCTGCGTCTTCTTTTAAGACAGAGAGAACAAGCCACAAAAACAAAGACTCAGATCTTGAGTCTTAATGCTAATTCAGGGTTAGTTTTTCTCAGCACCTGCCTGTGAAAGCAAAGTGCTGGGTAATAGGAGAGGAGAGGGTATACACAGAAGATGGCAGTGGCTACATCTCTTGACTGAGATGAAGTTTCAAAGCCTGAGGTGGACAAGATTCTTAAAATCTAGTGGCTGCATTTGCTACCCTGAAATATGTTTCCTTCTTACTCTTCTCCTGAGAAATCTGTTTTATTTTGTCATGACTAACATCAGCAGCAGCAACCTCTTCCTCTCCACTCAATCCTGAATTAGATAGGCAGTAACCGTATTTGCAAACAAACCATCTGGCAGAACGGCCACTGCTTTTTTTTTCCTGTAAAAACCTGCTAGCTCCAACTCTACTCAAGTTTTTAGTACAATGTCCTGAAAGAATTTCACAATCAAAACATCTTAATCCAAGATCCTTCAACAAATTTAACAATGAGTGGGTTTAGTCACTGTTTGAAAATTCAGATTTTATAAGGAAGATCCTGACATATGGTCTAAAAGTTTCCCTTTGTGTGGGACTGGTGTAACTGCATGACTCAGAAATAAAACCACTCACAGCACTCAGTTAACCACTGAGCAGTCCAGTTCTCCCTATACTAGTATTCCAAAGCAGTTACTTTCCACATTTTTTTTTTTTAAGTGTAAATTTACTGAGATTACTTACTGAACGAGAATAGCAAGCAGTATCTCAATATCCAAGCAGTTTATTCCCTTTTTCCTCTAGTCCATTCTATTTCACTCCCGCTCTAGGGTTTCTCCATCCTCCCCCTTCTCTCTGGTGTTTGACCAACTCCTCTGCTCTTGCCCCGTCCTCACCGGCAGCTGGGGGTTCCCCGTGGATGGAACAGCACTGCCAAGTGCTCTCGCCCA